TGACAGATGTAATGGTCTCCAACGGACCTGGATGTCTTACAAATGACGAAGTCGATGCCTAGGATCACAATATCAAATCAAAAAAATACACCATCATTAGCGTTGAGCCTAACCCCACGCAACGTCCAAAGAAAAAGAGACGTCAACATAAACACACCTTGACTAGCAGAAGAAGCCGCCCTAGACGACCCTGAAATACCAGACGATGGCAAATCAGACTCCTCCAAGGGAAACTCAAGTTTGGACTCTGTTGATGCTCAAATCATTAAGGATCTTACTGGTCAATATCAACAGTAGAACACATATGCTTCGCGTTCACTCATTCCCAACCTTCCTTACATTTCCCTTGAAAGTTATACATGATTTAGGCAATACCAGAACTGCTCCGCAACATATAGCGGTATCGGAGCGGTATTGGAGCGGTTTTACACCGCTATATTGACCACTATACGTAGCGGTGGCTCCGCTCCACCATCCCAAGGCGAGAAAACCATTAGCGGTCTGACCGCTCCGATATGGGAAGGGTCTGAGGGCACTTCAATATGCCTTTTAGCCCTTATAGCAGCGATATATAGCGGTATCGGAGCGGTAAAATACCTTCCGCTCCGATACCTTGTGATATTTTTTTAAAAAAAAATATCGGTCAAGTATCGGTGATCTCATAGCGGTTACTCCGCTCCGATACCAAAATGGGTTGAAATCCATAGCGTATCGGAGCGGTTCTGGTGTTGATTTAGGTGTTCCCTTTTTATTTACGGTTTTGAGCGTCATGACTTCTCTTGAAGTTCTTTTTTTGTTTTTTATGATTCTCAAATCGCAGCAGCGCTTGTCACAAAAATCACAAATCCTTCATGTGTAATGGAATTGGACCCCGATTTTGTTCTCCTAATCCTGCTTATGAAACTATACAAATATGTTTGATTTTACATATCCAGTGCCATTCCCATTCTTCAAACAACAAGCCAATCTCATACAAAATCAGTTATTACAGATCATTGAACATCTCCTTGTCCAAAACAAGATAAAGTGAGAATCACATTATTATCCACCCTCAACACTTCACATATTGGATACATGGGCCGCACAGATACAACAACCTTAAGGCTCCACATATTTGATGCATACAGAAATATAACAGAAAAGGCCTTACCACAACAACCCAACCACTGGAAAAGTCAGAAGCAAGCGCCAAACACAAAAAAAAAGAGAAACATTATGGCAAATGATCATTTGAAGTCAAAACTTTTCTAACCAGTCAAGGCAAGACAGGCATTAGGTCCGACCCCAGAAATAAAATTCTTAGCAAATGCTCACCTATATTTAACTCAAAAAAGTGTCTCATCCTTCAAGTCTGAGCAGGACTCGGGACGCCAAAGGGCTTCACGAATAACGGAAGCACTTTCAAGCTCTAGTTTTCGTTTGTTTGACCTATTAATAGTTGGAGTATGAGTGAGCGCTTGTCCTTCTAACACTTGTGACAAATAATCACATGACCTACAATTCCCCTTTAGAAACCGATGAAGGGACCACTGTAGCCGACTTGTGCAAAAACTTGGATGATCTAATGACAACAGTTAAAAAAGGTTCGATATCAGAAATAATCAATTCCCAGTTGTACTTTTTAAACAAAACCTACGATGTAGCCAACTTTGTGACAGCGGCAGGCGCTGCATTCTCAGGTGGCATCAAGCTCGGCCAGAGTGTTCCTAAGAAGTAGGCCTTGCTGATTCCTGGGCGAACCTCAACATGACGCCAATTTCTAAAATTGTTGGCACCCTTGGGTGGTCGCCGGGTGCATCCCTCTCGCCAATGCCCAAATCCAGCGCATTTGAAGCATTGATCCTCGCCTCTCCTAACGGGGGCCGGCGCAGTAGGGATTGAGCTCAGAAGAAATGGCGCGGTTTGCGTCTGGTTGCGTGTCGGCATATCTTCTAGGCCAGTAAAGGTGTATACGCGGCCGCGAGGAGCATTTGGTTCTCTGGCTGGCATTGAGCGCATGGGGCGAAAAGGAGTCATTGAAGGTGTTTTTGATGAGACAGCAAAGTAGGGTGATGGGGACTAGGCGATATCAAACAAGGCTGGCAATAAGGAGTCAAAATTTTGATGCACGAGTCAGTAATTCATCATTTTCTTATCCCCACCTTGAGGTATATCATATACTTATCACTTCGTAAAGGCAGGTCGGCAATTCAGAGTTCAAGCAAGTCAGACATGTAACCCTGACGCATAAATTGTTTTATTGATGATCCCCAATCATGATTGAATCTTAAGATAGTATTCGATCAATAAACTCAAGATTTGATCGGGCCTGTTGATAATATCGGCCGCTTGTTGTCTTTAATCCTCAAAGCCATATTGTACCAAGCTGTGCAAAAATGCGTCATAGAGGTAGTTTGTCATCAGTACAAACTCATTCACTGTAAAACAGTTAAGTTGCCCCCTTACTTGCACTTGCACTGGTTCGGCCGCTTTTGGTGTTAGAGGTGAGGTTGATATGTTGAGTAATCGAAAGGTTTGTACTTAGACAAGAGGTTGAAATCTCATGTTCATGGTTAATCATATGAGAGAGGTGCGACTGTCAGCTCTGACTGTCGCCAGTACCTCTTGCAAGTTAATCGCCCCTTTCACACTCACGAAGTTTAGTATGTATACACTTGTGACATACTCAATTACGCTTTGAGTATGTCACAAAGGCCAGGCCTTTCAACAAAGTTCTTCACCCATTGACCTTTCATCAACTCTTCATTAGATCGATACCTCCAAACCCAAACCCCATCCACCCACGACTTAACCTTCGAGCGCCCCACCTTTGAGCCTGCCATCGAACCAACTGATCGACTACATCAACCAATCTCAATAGGTGTGTATTTCAACTTCCATTGCCTCGTTTTCCCTCTACTCTTTTATCCCAGTGGGCAATCATCGCACCAGGAATGATTCTTCATAGCCGGATATGAGATTCTTTCCTGTGCAGGAATCGTTGTAACCGGTTACAACGATTCCTGAAGGCAGCCGATTTGTCCGTTGGGTATGTTAATGAAATAATCAGATGCGGACAATTATCTACACAAATAGAGCAGAAGTAACCTGGACAGACAGGTGTGAGTATTGAGCTCTAAAGTGAAAGACTCAAATGGTAGAAGAAGTATGGGCGGATGGAATCAACGCCTTACCTGCAGATGAGCAGGAGAGAGAAGGACGGAAAGACTATTCGAGAGAAATGAGCACACATCCAGATAAACACAGTGGTGAGAAAAATTCAAAATACGTACTCTTGAGCTTTCGATTCCTAACGGTGAGGAAGGAAGAGAGAGCTCGAGAGAGGGAGTGTATATGAGGAAAACAACACACACATGAAAAATTCAGCACAGGGATGAAACACAAGAGCGCACATGCAGTAGTCAGGAGCTATTCTCAAAGAGGAAAAATGAACACAATAACTTGATACAACACATCCTCACATTCCAACTACCTTTCCCGATTTAGATAACTTCATTCATCCTTATTGAGTACTTATAAAGCCTTGAAACCATTCATCACAACCATACCCACTACACACCTGTCCCACACAACTCGTACTTAGGACTTGATTGTGAAGGACTTGACATAACCAGTACATTACCACAACACACCCCCTCAAGTTCTTCACACTATAGGTTTGAGGCCCATAAGTTTTCTGAGATTTGTGAATTGTTGAGTACCCAGCGGTTTAGTGAGGAGATCAGCTATCATGAATTTTGTGGGGCAGTGTTTGAGTGAAATTTGTCCTGAGTTACAGCCGTTGTAAGATCTATTGGTAGATTTTGCGATCGTTGTGTTGTCGCCGGATTCAACGTAAAGGTCAAAAACTCAAAAAAACTCTTCTGAGATTGATAACTCTACTACCCATTGGTCCAATCTAGCACAAAAACAATTGAGTTAGTCTGAGAGTGTCATGATTTCGAGGTTTTTGACTTCAGAAGTTAAATCTGGCGACAACAAAACTTTTCAAAAATCTGCCGTCAGATCTTACAACGGCTGTAACAACCTCCCTAATCCAGTGATAGTGTATTTCGATGTGTTTTGTTCTACCGTGGAAAATTGATTTGTTGGTGAGGTGTATGGCGCCTTTGTTGTCGCTTTCAAGGACAGTTGGGTTCACATCTTCGAGACCAAGTTTGGAGAGCATCGTTCTGAGCCACAGGACCTCTTGACCGGCTTCGGTAATAGCTCGGTATTTGGCTTCAGTCGATGAAAGGGCCACCGTAGGTTGTAGACGGCTCTTCCAGGAGACAGCTCCATTGGCCAGTATGAAGACATACCCTGTCGTCGATCGTCTGGTGTCTCAATCCCCTGCCCAGTCCGCGTCGCAAAGCGCTTGCGGGCAGACTTCACTCTTGAGGCCTTTGACAGGTTCAATGTTCGCTAGTCGAAAGTAGACGATACCCAGGTTGACAGTGCCACGAAGGTACCTGAGTACGTGACACGCAGCGTCCCAATGCTGGAATCCAGGCCAGTCGAGGTGTTGGGAGAGTGTTCCGACAGCGTGGGCTAGATCCGGTCGCGTGCACTGTGCCAAGTACATAAGTGAGCCTACGACGCTTCGATAAGGTAATTTTCTGGAAGCAAAGTCTTCAATCTCTTGCAGGTCGGGTTTATAGAGTTTTAGGTTGGCAGTGAAGGGAGTGCTGGCTGGTTTGACATCTAGAGAGTTGAATCGCTCGAGTACCTTGAGAGCATAGGATTCTTGACAGATTGAGTACTTGTGTTCATTGATGCGTTTGATTTCAATACCTACTACGGTTGTAGCCAAACCAAGGTCTTCCATCTCCCAACATTGAGAGATTTCTTTCTTGAAAGATGAGATATCGTTTCCAGTTATGGCAAGGTCGTCCACATGAACGTACACAGCCGTGAACAGGTTTCCTTCGCTTCTGATGTAAATACAGTGGTCTACTTCGCATTGGATGAAGTTCACACTGAGAAGGAAATCCATAACGTCGTCTTGCCAACACTTGGGAGCTGCTTGAGTCCGTATAGAGACTTCCGAAGTTTACACACCTTGTGCTCCTCACCCGGTACCTTGAATCCTTCCGGTTGTTCAACATAGATGACCTCGTCCAGATAGCTATTGAGGAAAGCGGAGACAGCATCCATCTGATGCACTTCCCAGCCAAAGATTGCTGCTAGGGCTATTAACAGGCGTAGAGACGTTGGTTTACCTGTCGGAGCGAATGTCTCAAAGTAATCTTCACCCTCCACTTGGGTGTTACCCATAGCTACGAATCTTGCCTTAAACTTGAAGGGATTTTCAGGATCGGACGTGATTTTCTTCCTGAAGAGCCACAGGCCTCTAACAACGTTGGAGGTGGCAGGTCTGTCAACCAGTACCCAGACTTTTTTGTCATACATGGCCTTTATCTCTTTCTTACACGCAGCCAACCATTTAGTGCCCTCGGGGCCATTCACAGCTTTCGAGTAGGATCTTGGGACGTCGTGAGCAGAGGTGACCAGGTTGCTCTTGGGCAGAACACAATCAAAGAGTTGATTAAGTTCCCAGGCAGTGGTGAGAGTTGACTCCTCCAGATTTTCGCCGATGGTGATGGCCGAGTACTTGACGGGTTCTTTGATCCTCCCAAAGCGTCGAGGTGGAGCTGGTGGAGACTTTGGTCGTGGTGGTTGAGTATCAGCGACACAGGTAGGATTCAATTCCTGAGCAGGAGGATCCATGGTATTCGGTGTAGAGTTGATGGTAGTAGTGACTTCCACATCTTCCTCATCACTCTCTTCATCAAAGAAGCGTAGTTTTAGGTTAGGTAATTCAGTAGACACGGGAGGTACTTCGGTAGAGGTCTGATTTTCAGTTATGAAGGGGAATACGTTTTCGTTGAAGGTGGCGTTATGTGTGATAGTGATACTGGATGAGTCCAGATCGTAGACATGATACACTGTGTCTGTGTAGGCTTTGCTAGTCGACGAGCGCACACCAACTCCCTTTGAGGCAGAAAGGGAAGTCGTGCGCGCTCGTCGACGAGCGAACACTACCCGGACACGGTGATAATTGAAGTTATCTTCTTCAAAACCTACCAGAACCCCTTTAGAGCTAACCGGATTAAACTTTGATCCTCTGATTTCTTTTCGAATGAGCGAGTATGCAAGACATCCGAACACCCTGATATGATCTACTGAAGGCTTCCTGAAATGCCAGGCTTCAAACAGAGTTTTGTGACCTTCCAGGGCAGCTGTCACGGTGCGGTTAGTGAGGAAAACAGCAGTTTGACAAGCCTGAACCCAAAGTCAAAGGGGAGATCCAGACTCTATCATCATCGATCTGGCTTTAGTACTGATAGTTCTGTTACCCCTTTCCGACACTCCGTTCTCTTCGGGAGTGTGAGCAGCTGTCAGGTGGAGAGTAATACCCCGCTCACGAAGTTCAGTACCCAGGAGTTCGTTAAGAAACTCTCCTCCTCTGTCGAGGGTAAACTGTTTGATCATCTTGCAGGTCTGTCGTTCTGCAAGAGCAATGTAGGCTCTGAATATGTCGAAAACTGTTTCTTTAGTTTTGTCTTTCATGAAGTAGATGTGACGGTAAGAGGAGTAATCATCGCAAAACATGGTGTAATACATTTCATTTTTCAACCCCTTGACTCTGATAATGCCACTGAGGTCGACATGTACATTTTCTAAATGGCGTGATGCTCTAGGTCTGGTGGACGAGTGAGGAATTTTATGGTTCTTAGACAATGAGCACACATCACAATTATTCAGCTGAGACAAGTTGGTTGGTAGTCCTTCTACGCTTCTGTGATTACACATGATTTTGAGGTACCGGTTATTCAGATGGCCTAAGCGACGGTGTTGGAGTTGAGTCAAATCTTCAGTTGAGGTGTTGAGTGCAGTGGAGCCAGTGATAGGACTCACAGGTTCGAGAGACACATACATGAGGTTGTTAGAGGCAAATACACCATTAAACAGAGCCTCTCCTTTGAAAACAAGCGAGAAGCAGTTGGAGTCATTCGGGTGTACCAGGACTTGCACCCCCTTGCGAAGCATAGCTCCACCGGCTAGAAGATTTTGAGACAAATCTGGAACATAAAGGCTATTGTTGAGTTCGAACATCTTTCCTGAGCCAGATTTGAGTTGAACAGTTCCGGTTGAGTGCACAGCCAGTGACGCATCTCCTCCTGCCAGTTTGAGTCTCTTAGATGAGTCTTCTACTTGAGTCATTGAGTCGGAAGTGAAGAGTTTATCACTTTTGAACATATAGTGAGTCGCTCCGGTGTCGTATAGAGCCCACAGTCCATTACTTTCATTCACAACATTAGCTGCAGGTGAATCTTCATCAAAGACCGTGTGAGATGATTCGAACGTGGAGAGAGCAGATGCTGAGGCTGAGATGTCATCTGAGTCATCAAAGTGTACGTGGAGCGAGGCAAACGGGTTATCGGAAGCCACAGCAAGACTCGCCGAGGGAAGGGTTACTTGTCTTAAGCCTGAAACATTTGAGGTAGTGGACGTCTGAGTGGGTCGAGTGTACTGAGGTCGGGATCTTTTGGCTTCCATCTGAGCTATCCACAAATCCCTAGCGGCATGGTTTTTGGGTTTAGCAAAACATTTGTTGTCATCATGCGTGGTCAATATACACTTGCTTTCAGAGCACCTCGGTTTGTTTCGTCAATAATTTCCTCCTCCTGATTGAGCAGCAGAAGTAGAGAAGTTTGAGTGACTAGCTTCAACTATGGCAGGGGTGGAGAAGCCTCCATTTCTAGCCTCATAGTCAATCAGATACTGTACTACACCCTCTCGAATAAGAGGGTCAACCTTGGTGTAGATGTTTTCAGATACATTTTCGGTGATTCTGGACTTCACTGTTTTGATGAGTTTTCGAGCGGCAGAGGCGGATGAGATGCAACCACGGTACTTGACAAAGTCTGCTATGAGATTGTTGAATGAATCCGTGCTGAGAATCTTCATATCATTTATCGCATCTTCAATCGTTTGCAATCCGGCTTCAGAAATCTTTTGATGATGATTCTTGAGAAATCTCCAGATCAGAGCCGGTTCGTATGCCACATCGTCATCTTCCTCATCGTCGTTGTTTTCATCGTCGTCGTCATTATCTCCACACCCTCTGAGTTTCAGCATAGTCTGGACTCTGATTTTGTTGTTCTTGTCCATTAGACTCATCATCCAGATGGACACAACAAGTTTTACTTTGATGTGTTGTTCATCTGTCAGAGACGGTGCTTTGAAGTCGAGTTTGGTGATGTACTTTTGATAATCAATCACGTTGAGAACTTGTTTGACTTCTAAGGCCCATGCTGGAAAGTTTCCATCTGAGAGCTTGGTTTCAATGTCGTACTTGGCGAGTAGGGAGGTAAGTTTCTGAACAAACTGCTGGATTGGGGTACCGAAGATTTTGGATTCCCCTTTGTCGGCCATGTTTGAGTTGCCTGGGATCTCGGTTCCGGAGTCAGAGATTGAGGTGAAAGTCTCGTCTTCAGAGTCAGTGAGAGAAGGATCTGGAGAAGGTGCTGATGATTCAGTTGACATAAAACAATGTCGAAGTGACAGTGGATGACGGTTGATGATTGAGGATAAGGTCAGATCTTTTATACTCTCGCTACCATGAAATAATCAGATGCGGACAATTATCTACGCAAATAGAGCAGAAGTAACCTGGACAGACAGGTGTGAGTATTGAGCTCTAAAGTGAAAGACTCGAATGGTAGAAGAAGTATGGGCGGATGGAATCAACGCCTTACCTGGACAGACAGGTGTGAGTATTGAGCTCTAAAGTGAAAGACTCGAATGGTAGAAGAAGTATGGGCGGATGGAATCAACGCCTTACCTGCAGATGAGCAGGAGAGAGAAGGACGGAAAGATCTTGAGCTTTCTATTCCTAACGGTCTTTATTCAAACTAAGCAAAAAGAGAACTAAACAGTAATAAAGTAACAAGTATTTACCTGGACAGACAGGTGTGAGTATTGAGCTCTAAAGTGAAAGACTCAAATGGTAGAAGAAGTATGGGCGGATGGAATCAACGCCTTACCTGCAGATGAGCAGGAGAGAGAAGGACGGAAAGACTATTCGAGAGAAATGAGCACACATCCAGATAAACACAGTGGTGAGAAAAATTCAAAATACGTACTCTTGAGCTTTCGATTCCTAACGGTGAGGAAGGAAGAGAGAGCTCGAGAGAGGGAGTGTATATGAGGAAAACAACACACACATGAAAAATTCAGCACAGGGATGAAACACAAGAGCGCACATGCAGTAGTCAGGAGCTATTCTCAAAGAGGAAAAATGAACACAATAACTTGATACAACACATCCTCACATTCCAACTACCTTTCCCGATTTAGATAACTTCATTCATCCTTATTGAGTACTTATAAAGCCTTGAAACCATTCATCACAACCATACCCACTACACACCTGTCCCACACAACTCGTACTTAGGACTTGATTGTGAAGGACTTGACATAACCAGTACATTACCACAACAGTTAAGGCCAAGCTGACCCCTTTCGTTCGTTCCTTCCTTGCAAACACTAGCAGCACTTGTTATTCCCAGAAAACCACGGTGCGTTCTTACAGTGTTTTCGTTCACTTCTTATCAGATCCCACCAATCGGACGGCCGATTGTTGCACCTGGAATTGATCTCTTAGCCGGCTATGAGATCGATTCCAGCGCAGGAATCAGGGTAACCGGTTACCTTGATTCCAACTGGCAACCATCGGCTCATTTATGTAAGATGTAGAAAAGCAAAGCTGACCATTGCTTCGCCCGCTTCCGACCAGCTCGATCATGGATCAGACCGTCATCAAACGCAATTTGACGACGCCTAGCGCTCCAAAAGATTCAGGATACGACTCGGACCTCACTGACCTATCGGATTTAACGTAAGAGAACCCTGCGCTTCAAAGTACTACCCACCACCGCGCTTGCTCCTAACGATGTTATCGTCAAACAGCCCTGTGCCCGTCCCTGCCAAGAAGCCAAACTCTACTCAACTATGCAAGAAGATGCCAAAGAAGGCGAAGCCCCCTCCCAAGGCGAAATCAGGAGGCAAGACATCCGCTTTTTGATCTCACCAAATATCCAAAGAACTGCTACCTCATACTCCGGCTCACCATTTTGAAAGCGTGTATTGCCGACGATCCCAAGTCGCTCATCATCTGCACCGCGTTTTCACTGCCCCATCTGCAACCCAAATTCGAGTCGATTTCGACCTCGCAGTCGCCTTTTTTTTACAACACACCAAACACCTCAACCTAGGTGATATCCCCTTTAGCATTGAGAAGGTGTTGGCCGACTTTTCAATTCTTGATCCACTCACCGGACGACAGGCCAACCTCCGTTATTGCACAGTTTACATCAAGCACACGCTTGATGCCCATGCAGCTGATCCCCAATCGTCCAAACCTTTTGCACTCCGCTACCCAAACCTCACTTCTCTCAACAACCTTGCGATCGAACGTTCGGTGGCTCCCAAAATAGTTGGGAAGGATGGGGCGGTTATTCTCCTGGATGTGGCTGGCCGAGTGGTTGCAATTGGCGTTCCTCCAAAAAAGGAAAGCCCAATGGGAACGACCCTCACCGGAACGGTGAGCAGTCCTATTGCGAGTGTTCTTTTGATGTGGACCAATGCTTACACACTCTGCATCCAAACCACAGGAACGAGGCCGACTCGCTCTCGCAGGCGCCGCCGAGGTTACAAACCTTGGAGTTTTTCATGGCCCTGCAACGAAGGACATGATAGATCAGACCCCAACTCGGCCGTTTGAAGTTCGCGACGATGCAAGCTCTCGATTAAGTGGGGCAGATTCGTCTCAGGTTCAATGGCCTGGCACGGTCACTGGGTTCATGCCGTACCAGGCTGTGGGCTATGGTAGATACTCCGTAAGCATTGCATCTGACCTTGAATTAAGGGAACATCGCAGAATGTTCCGGTGAACTGATTTCAATCTGCATGATCTCAATCTGCACATTGCTAACCAGTCGCTATCGGCCGGCATGTCCAATACCAACATGGCCTTTGGTAAAGCACGGCAGGGCCATCCGGATTCCAACTGGCAACAAACCAAAGTCACCGAATTCAACCTGCCCACCTTGATCCAGATGGGTCAGGAGCACGCTTACAAGCGTGAGACCAATGCTAGGGTGGAGTCGGAGCTACTTTGGCACCACGAGCAGGCACGCCTGCTCATCAAGGCATTTCAGCCTGCTTCATACGACGCAGCCTTGCAATCGCTTCGCGTTATCATCCGAAAAGGAACGCCGGCTGCTTCGCGGGTTTTCACTGGCCTCGTTCATCCAATTGGTATTGGTAGGCGCCTCCTTCTTTCGCCTTACCTAATCCCATTGGAATTTGGGCAAAGCCTGCTTGATTTACCTTAACTTCGGCGAGTTCAATGGATACTGACTGATCTTTTGTTTTGCACAGGGAGGCACACCATGCTTGGCATGCAAGTTGACCACCATCGGGATGGACACAATGCCCCTTTGTTTGCATCTGCGAACTTCTTTGGCCAACACTACGGAGGTGGGGAATTGATATTGAACTACCTGGGTTACGCCCTTTGTGGAGACCCCGGTTATTCTGTTCATGCAGCCTTTGATATTCTCATGCATGGGGTTACTAGGATCACGCGTCTTCCCAACAAAGCTGACCTTCCACCTCAGCGAATCTGCATGGCACTCTACAGCCATTCAGATGTCTTTGCTGGGGCGGCTAGGTATTCAGGAATGCAACAAAGGCCAATGGTCTTCAGCGACAGTGCGCTTTGGATTCCGTTTTATCCAGACGCCTTTGAGATATCCAAAATCATTGCATCTTTCCTTGCTGAAAAGAAGAGGCTAGATAAAAAATACCTAGCGGAGAAGAAGCAGAAGAAGCTTGAAGAGGCAGGGTGCTATGAATAAGACTTGGTGATCTGACTTCTCTATACTGACCTTATAAATTCCAATGGGTACGATGAATTGATATGTTTGTTCTATACTACACTAAAGCTGATCGGCAATGAATACTATGTTATGTTCTCTTGTGAATTCTTTATGCGATAATTTTGAGTTTTTGTTCTGGGTTGCGCTAAATGGATGTAACATCTCAATTGGGGACATGTAAGCATTCAATTTGGGTACATGTCGCTGGTACCTCCTTCAAAATGGTTACATGTACCTTGTACCTCAATGCCATGCCAAGCTTGCTCTTGAAAACATTGATTTGTTTTGCCAGGTTGCATGAACTCCAGAAACATCATTGATGCCTAAATATATGTGAGTAACTCAGAATATGCCTAACTCCCAGGCTTAAATAGTTATGGCAAAATTACCTAACTTTGACCATGATATGTGAGTAAACATGTGACAACCCAGTCATGAAGGGTTGTGCAACTTCAACAATGTAGTGTTGGGTTGTATAGCACTAAAAAATGCTCCAGAAAAGCTTTGCCACACTCAGAACATGCCTAACTCCCGGGCATAAAAAGTTATGCCAGATAATACCTATCTTTGACCATGTTTGCTTATATGTGCGTAAACATGTGACAACCCAGTCATGAAGGGTTGTGCAAGTTTACGCACATACGTGTTGTGTTGTATAGCACTAAACAATGCTCGATAAAAGTCTTGCAACACTCAGAACATGCATATCTCCAAGGGGTAAAAAGTTAGGGCAGATAAGACCTATCTTTGACCATGTTGGCTTATATGTGCGTAAACATGTAACAAGCCAATGTTGAACTGGTTTTTCCAGTTCAACATTGAAGTGTTGGGTTGTATAGCATTAAACAATGCTCCAGAAAGCATTTGCAACACTCAGAACATGCCTAACTCCCAGGCGTAAAAAGCTATGGCAGATAAGACCTATATTTGACCATGTTGGCTTATATGTGCGTAAACACGTGACAACCCAGTCACGGAGGGTTGTCCAAGTTTACGCACATACGTGTTGTGTTGTATAGCACTAAACAATGCTCCAGAAAGCATTTGCAACACTCAGAACATGCCTAACTCCCAGGCGTAAAAAGTTATGGCAGATAAGACCTATCTTTGACCATGTTTGCTTATATGTGCGTAAACACGGGACAACCCAGTCATGAAGGGTTGTGCAAGTTTACGCACATACGTGTTGTGTTGTATAGCACTAAACAATGCTCGAGAAAAGTCTTGCAACACTCAGAACATGCATATCTCCAAGGGGTAAAAAGTTAGGGCAGATAAGACCTATCTTTGACCATGTTGGCTTATATGTGCGTAAACATGTAACAAGCCAATGTTCACCTGGTTTTTCCAGTTCAACATTGGAGTTTTGGGTTGTATAGCACTAACCAATGCTCCAGAAAGAATTTGCAACACTCAGAACATGCCTAACTCCCAGGCGTAAAAAGTTATGGCGAGAATACCTATCTTTGACCATGTTGGCTTACATGTGCGTAAACACGTGACAACCCAGTCATGAAGGGTTGTCCAAGTTTACGCACATACGTGTTGTGTTGTATAGCACTAAACAATGCTCGAGAAAAGTCTTGCAACACTCAGAACATGCATATCTCCCAGGCGTAAAAAGTTATGGCAGATAAGACCTATCTTTGACCATGTTGGCTTACATGTGCGTAAACATGTAACAAGCCAATGTTGAACTGGTTGTGCCACTTCAAAATTGATGGCTTGTGTTGTATAGCACTAAGCAATGCTCCAGAAGAGTTTTTCCACACTCAGAACATGCCTAACTCCCAGGCGAAAAAAATTATGGCTTTGACCATGGTTGCTTATGTGTGCATAGACATGTGACAACCTGGTCATGGAAGTATGTGCAAGTTAGAGTTTTGGTTCATGCTTTTTGCTGCACTGAACAATGCTCCAGAAATCCTTTGTAACAGTCAGACCATGCCTATCCCCCAGGCGTACCAAGTTATTGCAAAAAAGTCCAAACTTTGACGATGTTTGCTTATATGTGCGTGTGCGTACCCTGGGGACACCCCAGTCTTGAAGGGTCTTCATGGAGGTTTTTTCCAATTCAAGACTGGAGTGTTGAGTTGTATAGCCCTAGCCAATGCTTCAGAAATCATTGGCAACTCACAGGACATGCATATCTCTCAGGGGTAGGCAGTTACAGCAGAAAAATGGCTCCATAAGCACTACAGGCATGATTGAATGCATGTGCGTAAACATGCATTCTGGACTTGAGGAGGTTGATTGTTTACTTCACTGTGAGGACATATGATTACTTGTTTAGGGTTGTATGGTAATCTGACAATGCAACCCTAACCATTTATATTGTGTCATATTATTATGGTGCACAATCACTGCATCCATACTAAATGAGGATTTCATCTTAAACCCTAAGAGTATAACATATATTGTTCATGTGTTGATTGAACCTCACCATTATTTGAGTTAAAGGGAAATGGCATTTGTCAAATGCCATTTCATTATACATCTAATACAAAGTCGAAAAAAGTGGATATGAAGCCCCAAAAAATGCATAAGATCTCTACTTCAACTCACAAATGAACTAAGCAATGAATCCTTTATAAATAATCATCCCAGTATAATTATTGTAAATATACAGAAATCTTTCGCACAAGTTATGTGATACTATTGTATAGTAGTTTAACCACTCTAAAATTCACATCTATTTGAACACCAAAATTTCCACATCACACACACTGTTTGGCGCTTGTTTTGCATGATAACTACAACCACAACATTGTACTGACACATTGGAAGCATGGACTTGACAGCAATAGATGAGCGCTTTCAAGAAACCAAACCGATGTGTAAGCCACGGATCTGACATGTTACAGGAGTGTAATGTTACATGAGACATGACAAGCGCAGTGTGAAACCTCCGGATCCGTTTAATAAAGCCTCGCCGGATCCGGGTTTCTTGTAGTGGTGAACCATCATATGGTCCACGCGACGCGCCTGTTTTATTTATCTCTTTCCTTATATATTATATCGATATCTTCTCGATATCCTTTTCCAATCTTGTTTCCTTATTTGTTTGCCGCTTCCGGCTTTTATCTTGTGCGCTCGTATCTTGTAGCTTAGAATGAGATTTCACTGCGAAAGTCTCGCCTATAAAAGGCGGACCTTTCTTCGCTGCAATTCAATCCCCAGCTTGCTCTCTACTGATTTCCACCGGCCACAGTTTGCCTTTTTTGCCTAATCATTCCTTATTAATTTCCTCGAATCCGCTATTCTTTCGGCATTATAAGCC